TAACTCCAATCATGAATCATCTGACCAACTGAAGGAAAAGGAAACCCTTAAACAGACTTGAATGACTAGTTTTGTTTTAAATTTACTTAGACATTTTGTAGCTGAGATGGATATTCTTGAAGTCACTGTCTTCTTTGAACTGATTGCTTCCACTGTACTTCATTCATTATCATCCACGATAATCCCATCAGTAGAACCAAATTACATGGGTAAAGTCTGTTCATCTTGATAATAGCGAAGAATACTTGATTTGGAAAACGTCTATTGTAGCAATGATTTCTGAAGGTCATTTGTATATATATACATCCACTTCCAAATGACAGTATCCTCCTGATATCGGTGTTTCTTTTTTTCCTAGTACAAGATAATAGTTAGCAGTTCTAAAGAAAATGATCTTTTTGAATGTCGGCTGATCAACTGGAGGATAATGCCGCTAGAAAATCTGACCGTAAAAAAAGTAACAACAGAGGGAAATTGGTTCAAATTCCATGATATAGGTAAAAGAATAGAAAAGAAATACTTTAGAAATAAACTATATGACTAAATTTAGGAAACTTTGTAGTGGAATTAAAGTTTTTGTCTATCATAAACCTAATATTGACAACCGGTAACTTCATTACTTTCACAACAGAAAAACAGAGTACTATAGCTAAAATTCTCCATTTATGGTAACCAAGATCTTACATACTTTCATCCACATAGGAGGAATAAGAGTTTTTGCTGCTTTCTTATCGTTAATAAGGTTCATATAAACCATTCATTTGAGTAAAACATGGATGAACACAAGAATTACCAAGAATACAATGATACTAGTCTCCGTAGTCAGTATAAAAACAAGCCATAAGATTTTGATGATGTATTCACTTGTAATTTCTATCCGCGTATTAGACAAGAAAACCATTTTGCATGTAAACTTATTTCTTTACTTTCTTCAAACGATAAGATTCTACTGGATTATCAATAAAATCTACCATTTGGGTGTGTTGACTCGTAGCCATGCAAAATGAAGCACATATATACCTATGATCTAGTTGTAAGGTTTGATCAGATTTCTGATCTCCATCACTCCACTTTACTCTTTAAAACTATTCGTTTTAATTATGCTTTTACATTCAAATGACGGAGAGGAAAATAAATAAATACAAAGTGTTTAATAATTCTTACTTATCTTTTGAAGGCTTAAGCGTTATCTGTTAGTCAGTTGCATAAAAAGCCGTAAACGTCTGAATCATTTGGGTCTCTAGTTATGAAAGGTGCAAAGATTATCTCTGTTTTCGTAAGTAATCGGCCGTATCTGATGAAAAGGTAAAATACGTTCATCAGTTGCCATTTGTATGCTGATTGAAACTGCTGCCAATCGTTGCATCAGATGTGTTAGCTGTATTTGTGAAAGAGAATGCTAAATGACAGTTTTGAATTGGATAACTTGAAATCCATATATTCCTGGAGAAATACTAATCATTCAAATGGTGTGATTAAGGGACAAAGTTTATCTGAACCCTGTGATATATTTGCAAAACACATTTCAAACTATCTGATCACACATTTACTTTTCAAGTCAATTTAAATCAAACCAAAGGGTGAGAGAACAAGTATAACAATTAAGTTAATAAGGGATTAAAATTAGGAAAAATTAGAACAAAAAGAAAGAGTAACACAGTCGACTCTAATTTTGGTAAGAGAATAAAGTTTACCAAGATACGCTTAGTGTAAGAACAAATTGTTTTTGTTCACGTAAAAGTGGTTTCGATTTGTATACGATTATCGCCTCCTCAAATCTCAGTATACTTTCCTGACTGTTTCTATATTAAACTTCAAAAGCTGTCTGAGCATTAATTCTGTGACTTGTTTCTAAAATATTTTTAGCTATGGATGAAGACAGTCGTCTTCCACTTGAGTTGATCCAAGTTTCATAGCATCTGTTTTTGAAGCCAAGTAGGTACATGTTCTTTTATTCTCAACTGCATGACTGTATTACTCCTCCCTGTGTATATATGATCACGCACACATATGTAAACTGATAAACACAATGGGATGTAATGTAATCACTGATGCAGTGTTTAGGTTTCTGGTGAAGCATGTGCTTTTTTCCACAATAATAGGATTAGGTGTGTTATATATTTTCCTAATGGCTTAGGTCTCAAAATTATACTATTCAACTTCCATTTGTATGGTAAAGTGATATGAACGTCTTTCTTAGGAAGCATGTATAGAGTTGTTTTAGGTGCTACTTCACTTCTACAATGGTTCATAAATTTCGATGGATATCTGTTTCTGATAAGTGTTTTGGTCAGTAATTTGATATCTCCACCCATGGTATCTAGTGTAAAAATATGATACATCTTGTTAAACAGACATTTTACTAGACCTCGCTTGTATTGGATCGGAAAAAACCTGTGAAAATTCAAATATTGTCCTGTCTATGTGGGCTTTCTGTAAACTGACCATCTTATTGAACCGTCTCTTCTTCGACTCAGCAATAGAATAGTAGATGTTTGTTACCCTTTTCATCATAAGTTAGACTGATATGAGTTTGTATGGTGTTGTCTTTTTAGTAGAAAAACCATATCTTTATGCCTCTCACAAGGCATTAGGTGACATCGCCATATCTCTTGTAAAGGAGAACTTTAGCGATAAGGTCACCGGAGAGATTTGCTATATATGACATATATAAATATAAGCTAGTATTGTTCCTAAGGCACTAAATGTTACAAAGGATTCAATTATTTCTTGCTAGATATATATCCAAATAAGTAGGCAAAAAAAAGAATGTCCTAATGGATAAAGAAACGTTTAAAAATGTTCAAAGTAGTTGACAACCTTTCTTCGTGAAAGAATAGTTATAGTGCTTTCTGGATTTGCTCTGCTGTTAAAAAGAAACCAGAGAAATTCCTTCCGACTTCGTTTATCTCATTGTTAACTGTTCATTTGTATCCTCGTTGTGAATCGTACTTTAGTGAGGTCAAGCCGAATAGCAGCTTTAGAAGTTCGAAACAACGTGTAATTTGGCTAGCTTAATTCCTACTTTTGGAAGTATCAATCACTTTATTATGAATGGAGAAATGCTTATCAAAAGAACGGGTATCGAGGCATTCACCCTAGCGTACAAAATCAACCACTTTAACATCTACCATAAATGTCTTACAAATTGTCAACCAATTACTTCATCCATCCAGTATCAGCATGATAGGTAGGCTAAACAGATCACCTCAGAACACCTCATAAAAAGATAAAAGATACATTAAACAAAGAAGGCAAGGTGAATATAATGTTGAAAAAATAGCTGTAAAGACTTTCAGTATTACTACGTTGGTTCAGATATTGAAAAGTCCAGAAAGCTTATGAGCACCAACTAACAGCTAAACGACATGATATATCCTTATTGGTATCGACCCATGCAGAGAAGTGTGACCACGACTTCGACTAGCACAACCTGGTAACACTTCAATAAACTAGATCAAACACGGCAAAAGAAATCATAGAAGCATGTCACTCTAGTCAAATGGTAGTTAACAAACACATGAACATTGACCCAACATATGGACTACTAAGAAGGGATCAGGTAACAGGAAATCAGTCAAGCGAATCAACAGAATTGGTCAAATGATGGAAAAAATTACAAGGATCAACTAGTAATAGAAAAAGGTGAACAGGTCACCTTTACCCAAAAACAATTAACACTCAAGGTTGACAAATGTCTTACATAATTATCCATGTAGGTTAAAAATGCTTCAATTCTATGTGAAGATAATAGTGATAAATTCGCTTTGTCTGATAGTGAAACTTCCCAATAACAAACAAACCTCAAATTTAGTAGAAAATCAAATGATTATCATCTTCATCCTAAGCTACAAATCTTCGTTACCATCTTAAAATACTTTATGTCTGAAAACCTTATTTGAAAAGATATGTGTATATAAAGTAAAACATTCTTTTTCCAAAATGTCTGATTATTTATTATTTTGACATTTGTGTTCCACAAAGGATCTGTTGGAATGGCATAAGGACATACAGTATTAATTACGCTTAGGTTCTACTCTAACAATTTACATTATTTTCTCATAGACCACATGACAGAACATAGTTTGGGGATGATTATATGTTGATCTGAAGAGATATATATTTAACAAAACTAATGAACAACGTTTGAGTTCAATTTAAGAATACAAAAGACTATAAAGAAATTGAGATATATACTGTTTTGTACAAGACTAAACAAAACATTCTTCTAATTAAACTACAAATATCTAGACCTGGGTTGTTACAACTATCCTGAAAGAATTGAAACACTAAAGCCCCTAAAACAAGTCTTTCAAGCATTTTCAATCTTTAGAACATCACATATATGTGCTTTTAACATGGACTATGCAAATTATGCTTCACATTGGCCAGCCATTTTCCAGATTACCATCCACCAAGAACTGAGTTATTTGTCTTTATTTTGCCTTGGTTTGATCTGACAGCTAGCCTAGTTATCAACTTGTGTAATATATACGCAAAAATGTAAAGTAAATCCTAAACAGTACATGTTTTCCTATAATAAGTTGAAATAATTTTCAAGAAAAACTAGTGAGTGATATTTCTTTTTTTTATTTAAAATAGTTCTACTTTTTTAAAATGTATCAAATTTCAGTATCATGCTTCTTATAATATCCAATGATATGTGTATTCAATGATCAACATAAATCACCAAGTAAACATAGAGGTGAAGAGAAGAAAAGAGTTCATTGAACCTATTGAATTACACGATTAGTTGATATAAAGTAAGGGTTGAAGTGTAAAATGTCAGTGTATCAAAGTATCTATGTTCATTACATTCAAGATAGAATATTTAAGGGAATTATAATTTTAGTTCATTGTCACTAGCATGTAAATAGTTAATCTATTATTTCATAGTATTATATCTAAAATTTCTGTTTTCTTCTAAATTTAATCCTTGTGAACGATATCAAGATATCATTTAAAACAAAAAAAGAATTTCAAAAGGTACACAACAAAATATGAATGAAGAAAATTCTCATTTTCCAGAAATACATGAAATCCCAACAGATCAACTATTCAACAAAAATATAATCATCCCAAGTGTAATTATTTCATTGATAATTCTTGTCATTATTTTATGTTTAATCATGATTTACTATCGAAATAAGCGTAAACAGAAGTTAAGCGAATTTGAAAAAGTACCAGTTCATACTAATTTGAATGAATATACCACTATTGATCAAGATATATCATATCCATGGGTTAACAGAAAAAACTGTTACAATTATCATCCAATTGCATCTTTGCATTCAGTGATGCATAATCAACCACCAAGTTATGAAGTCCTTATAAATAAACAATAAACTCCGATTATGGAAAGCAAAATGAGCTTTCAAAGCATATGTTATTATATTACATTAAAGGAGGCGCCTAATTCCGTTTAAATGTAATATTCTAATCAAATTAATCTTTTATCAGGTGATTCATTCTCCGAGTTTCACAGCTTAAAGACATATATATATATATATATATATATATATATATATATATATATATATATATTTGAATGTGACATTTAGCTCAGAAAAAAGAGGTTTTCTTAAAAGTCCCGCTTCAGTTCAGTTGTTTTATGGCAAAGTCCTTAGTGATATGGTGATCCTTATCCTTACGGGGATGAGGTAATTTTGATTTATTTTATGATAATCTATGCTTTAACATTTTCATTTGGGTTGACGTTGACCTCTTATTCTTCTTGTCTACTTGATAAATTTCAACTGATAGACTTCTACGCAATTAGCTATAATTAAATATTTGTGTCTATGGTATGTTATCAAATAAATTCTAGACTTTGTTGTTTTATTAAAATTGCTTGTATCATCCCGTCGTTGATTGGACCCAACTGATCGGTCTCTATTGGCATATAGGCTCCTGTGCGGATGCCTCTATATTACCTGTGTTCTACTTGTAGTAAAGATGGACATTGGCTAGCAGCTGAATCAAAGATGTGAATTTCGTCCTATTTGGGACTCGTCATCTGGATGTACCTGCCTCCCAGTGAGTGCTGTTGTTCGGGCTCGGGACCGATCGCTTCAAAAGCCAGAGTGTCATCCACTAGTTAACCGAGCCACGATAACCATTTATTGTGCGACGGGTATAGTTGTAGTATAATTGCTTGTATTATACTGTCATTGATTTGACCTAACTGATCGTTCTCTATTCATCCTATTCCACTCCTAGCCACTATCCATCTTTACTACAAGTAGAACACAGGTAACACTGAGGCATCCGCGCAGGAGCCCATATGCTAATAGAGACCAATCAGTTGGGTTAAATTAAAGACGGTATAATACGAGCAACAACACTAAAACTATACCCGTCGTACAAGAAGTGGTTGTTGTGGCTCGGTGGTGAAGAGGATAACGCTCTGGCATTTGAAGCGATCGCTCCCGAGTCCAAACCCCGGTGGGGACGACATCAGCCACTGGGAGACAGATACGTCCAGCTGATGAGTCTAAAATAGGACGAAATGCGCATCCTGGATTCAACTGCTAGCCACTATCCATCTTTACTACTTGTTGTTTTATCCTGGGATTTGTTAGGAGGTCCTAGGTGATGCCTTTCAGTTCGGTTTGATTCAAAATTGTCAGTTGGTGGTAAAGTTTTCATTCATGAGTGCTTATTCTCTAGGTTCAATGCCATTTTTTATATTCGTTTAGTTGTGAGCTTGGTCTTAATTCACGCCGTTAACGTTCCTCGGGAAGTTGTTCATTATCAAGATAATTCACAAACTGTATAGGTAGGGCAGATAAATTTCTTATTTCTACACTAGCTACTTAAATAGTGTTGTTAGACCAAAGAAATTTCTCACCTATTGTCACTGTAGATGCGATATTTTTACAGGAGTGAATGTAACGTGCAATCTTCTGACAACTTTAAAAAAAATAGAGTTCATTGATGCTTGTAATTTCCTATTGCTATACAGAGCCAAATTGCTAGACCTGTGCTGGCAGATCGGCTGCTATGTGGACGCCTGGATACTGCCGGATATTCATGATGTTATATTTATCTTAGTGCCTAGCATTAAAATTCACGATGTGCGTTTCGTCCTATTGTGGGCCCTTTAGTTGGATGTGCCTGCACTCCCACTAGTTTTGTTGTTCCTTCTGAGACTCCATACCAGTATCCATCGTTTAAAATCCCAAAGTGTTATCGATAAGGCCACCGAGACATGTGACCCACCTGTTGGACAACGGGTATCAGTTGTTGTTTGTTGATACGTGTAATTTCCCGTTGCTACATAGGATCGAAATGCTTGACCTCTTCTGGGAAAATCACTCGTTGATATTATGGGTTATGGGTTGAAAACTGATATGGCTGTTGACCAAATAATATTCCCAAGCTCGATGTAACAAAGTACTCAGTTGAAGTATGACATCTGAGGAGAATCAGCCAACTGCGAACAAAGTTCGACGATAAACTTCTGTGTATAGTATTTAGTGTCACCTTAAAAACTTGGCGGACAATCCTTGAAATGACGGTGGTTTCGTCCTCTATGAGGTTTGATACTTTTTCGTGAAAGTTTTGATCACTAGACGTCTTCAGCACTTCTTCATGAAGTTAGTGCTAAAGATGTCACTAAGCCTAGTGATGAAACATTCACGACAAAATATCAACGTATAGAGAACACTATACCACCATCATCTTCATCCTGAGCTACAAATCTTTTCCATCATTTCAAAATTTTTGAAAGCCTGAGATGACAGCCATAGTGGTACAGTAGGGTCAGTTGAGATGTTTCGTCTCAAAAAATTAACGAAACCAACATTGGTATGCAATGAGAAGAATAACAACTCAAGGAAGAGCAAAGTTTACTGTCAGAAATCCAATCACATGAAGTCACTGAACACTTTGGGACAGAGAGTTAGTTTGAATAGCTAACTGAATCAAAAAAAAGGAGACCGGTCATGGAATGCTTCTTCAGTGAACCAACACCAAACAAGTGCAATAGCAAAGGTTCATCATCTATTTCATTCATCTAAAAGGTGTCAATGTCTCCACTACTAAGGAAGAGATAAACAGTAATATACAAATCATGCTTCAAAGTTGTGGAACTATTTTTATGCGTCCATTGACAATTAATTTTGTTAACAACGTTATCTAGTAAATATTATTGTTTAACGTTTTGACGCATATGATGAACATATTTAAATGGAATCATTGACTACTTCATCAAATTCATACTTTTGAGCTACTTTTGACCTTTTCTTATGCAAAATAATTCTAAAAAGTGTATCATGTACTGTATTTACTGTTGTTATTCATTTTGTAGCCTGTTTGTCAATACTAACACCACAACCGACCATATTATAACTTGGACATGAAAATCACTCTACATATTGAATAGATTAAAACAAACATTTGTGCGCTACTACTACTACTACTACTACTCACACTAATACTACTATTCTTGTTAATACTTCCTTATTTGTGCTTTATAGGCAGTTACAGTTTTGCCATCCTGAATATAAAAGATAATTATGACAATAACTAAAAAATGCTGCCAATCTTATAGGTTTTAAAGCAATGAGATAATATTTTCACAGTTGTATAATATTTTCTTTTGAAAGTTAAACTGTCGAAGTAGAAAATCGGAGATGCTTTTCGTCTTGAAAGTGTTATAAATGATTTCAAACGAATTGAAGTGTAAAATGTCAAAATGATTTATGTAGGCGGTTTCTTACTACTTTCGCTAGCACTGTTTTAACGTGTAAATATAAAACAACCAGTTTTAAGTTTGCTTTTATGGTTTTTATAAAGTGATCATAGTTATAAATAAACAAGTTGTTCGTATCTATTCGAAAGTTTTACACAGATTGAAGAATACTATTTTAAAAGTTGTTTAGTGTTCATATTATGAAGTTGATGAGACTGAGTAAAAATATATTCTATCCACGATCTTAGCTTAGAGTAATCTGTACGATTTTTACTCGTATTCTTTATTAGCTTAACGATAATCAAAAAAGTACAAACAATTACAAGTTGCTTCCATCTAGAAGTCCGTGGATGCCTTCTCTGTTGTTCGATTTCTTCTGAAGACGACAAAATTTAATGACTACACTGTTAATTCTGTTATAATATTAAGAAAAAATATTATAGTCATTTATACGATATTTCATTCGACAAATGATGTTCTACTTATTTCTTGATATTTGAAAACAGTTATGAAAGTGTTGTCATCTGAGAAAGAGTAAGACAGCTAGCAAAAATGCTTCGATAAAACTGTTCAGAACTTATTAGATAATCTGGTTGCTAACTTAACCATCTAGACCTATAACTTATAGTGGTTTTCATCGAAAATAAGGTAGGATACTCTTTACTAGATAATTAATCATCTGACACTTTTCATACCATAACACAAAAAGTTAATAACTTCTACAGATATCTTTTCCGCTATGAAGGTCAGCTTAATACTTCATTTTCATTATTCTTCATAGCATTCATTCTGATCCAAAAGTTTAGTCAAGTACGTTGTGTACATGTATATGTGTATGAGTTCATTGGGCGTTAAAATACGTTTGGTTGCAATATAGATTCGTTTCCCTCCTTCTATATTACCATATTATTCATGTTTAAACGATCCAACCTCTATGACGTAAACCAGACTGATGTAAACGGAATGCTAACCTACGACCTTGTTGGATAGTCATGAAATGTGGCGAGCTGCCAGACGTAGGAAACTGTGAACCATTGAACTGCTACACAATGGCTAGTTGGTTAACACGTTCACTGTGGTTCCTGAAGATCTTTAGCTCGATCCCTGACGGGGTCATGGATGCGCACTATTCCCAAGTTTTCAATGGTTCTCCAGCTGACATCAATCTGTGATGAATACTACCTTATTTATCATACGTTTGTTGTTATATAACAGTGAGCGGGTGGCAAATTTCCGTCTAACCTCTAAGTAATTTGTTACTGGGGGAAAACAGCTGAGCTGAAAGGATGACCCTAAAAGGCTACCTTAGCGATGACTAAAATAACCAGTTAGGTTTTCGTATTTTCTTTGGTATGACAGATTTACATAAAAATAAGGAAGTTCAATCAGTTATTTCACTTGTTATTACGGTGACCTTTAGAGTTTCTTGGGTAGGAGAGTATGCGTATGTTTGGTGGTGGTATTGCATTCAGCCAACACCAGAATCTGTTAAGAGAAAGGAAAATAAAACGTAATCTCATGACTAAGTAGACGCTAAAAATGTACTCACGACTGACAGCAACCACAACAGACAATCGATATACCTAAATACTTCACAACGAGAAGACGAAATAATCTGCAAAGCGTACCAAAAAAGTTGATGGGCGATGC